TACCATCAGTTTGGGGTTGAATTGTGTTCCCTAAAAAAGATATGTTGAAGTCCTAACCCCGAGGACCTCAGAATGTGACCTTATTTGGAAATAGGATCATTGCAGATGTAATTAGTTATGTTAAAAGCACGTTAGGCCATACTGGAGTGGGGTACGCACCTAATACAGTAAGACTGGTGTCCTTAGGAGAAGAGGAACATTTGAACACAGACACGCACAGAGGAAAGATGATGTGAAGACACACAGAAAGAAGATGGCCACTGGGGTGATGCTACCACAAGCCAAGGAGTGCCTGGAGCTACCAGAAGCTGGCAGAGGCAAGCTCCTCTAGAGGCTTGAGAGGAAGCATTGCCCGACAGACACCTTCATTTTGGATTTCTAGCCTCCAGAATTTTGAGCGAATAAACTCTGTTGTTTTAAGTCACCCAGTTTGTGGTACTCTGTTAGGGCAGCCCTGCAAAACTAATATACCGTCTAATGGACAAAATGGGAGGCCCCTACAGATCATGAAGAGGGTTTTACAAAGAGTCTGGATCCCAGTCAATAGTCAGAGGTTATTTGACCACATCAAAGCAGGGGTGGGGTGGGGTGGGTGATGGAGAGAAGCCAGCTAGAGCCTCTTGGGGACCTCTTTGATCACTAAAAGCAAAATGTTCTCTTGGGATGAAAAGAATGTGTGAAAGATGAAATGGCTCTGGAGGGAGAGTCTTAAGTGAGAATTCTCCTTGCACGTCCCTCTTGGGAACTCTGGGATATGAGCAGCGGCCTTGGAAGGCCAGGCTGCCAGTGAGCATGTCCTTTCGGAGTCCTACTTGCCTGGACTAAGGCAGCCCAGACGGCAGGGGTCGGGTTGGGGAGCGAGGGCTTCTCTTGGTGGACAGGGAAGACATGGGGGCAGAGGAAGTTGGTTTGTGACATGGTAGACTGAGGGTGGGGACGTTTTTGAGGCTCACACAGGATGACGCCACTCAAATGGCCTCTGGTCCAGCCATGGGCGAATGTGTCCCAAGTTCTTAGAGACGCACGACCTGCTTACCTCTCCTTCAGGAGTCTAGTAATGAGCTGTGGACGTTAGTAGGGGGATTTCCTCACCTGAGCATTTAGAGGGGAAGCTGTAAGATCAGGGGCTCCTACCTGTGTGGTCTAGCAAAGGGATGGAGAACACTCCAGAGGAACCACAGCAGGAATAAAGCTTCTAAGGACAGAAAGGAGCCACTTCAGACCCGGCCAGGCAAGGATACCTGGGGTCCCAGTGCCTCTATTTGTGTGCATCCATGCCACAGGCACTGATTTACTCCCAAGCTTCCCCTACCCCTTCCCAGGCCAGTGTGCTTGGAGGAGTAGGGTCTTCTTTGTCACAGTTGTCATCCACCCTTCTCCCACACCCACCTCCAGACTTGTGTGGCCTGGTGGAGCAAGAGTCTCCACTTCCGTCTTTGCGGGGGAAGATAGTAAGGCTATTTATCCTTTAGATGTTTCCTTTTAGGGAGGGAGGTTAGAAATATTATATCTAACAATGAGATGGAACCAAATCACCAGGGCCAAATGGTGTCTTCAGGGTCAACTTGAAGAACCATTGGCCAAAGTGGTCTGCAAGAGGCTGGACGTCTGGTCAGCAGAGGCCCGTTCAGAAAGAGCGTCCCCAAAAGGGAGGATGCGGTTTTCTGAGAAGGGCGTTTCCTGGCCTCGGTTTCTGCTTACGTCTCCTCTCGTGGAAACTGCCTCTTCTCACCTGTTCTGCTGAGAGCTGACGTGTTGTTTTCTGTTTCTATTGGGACTTGACCAGTTCGAGATTCACCGTGGACATTCCAATTACAAAGTTATAGTCTAACCACTCTCATTTTAAAATTGGAGCCTAGGTACAGCAGACTGACTCTGGCAAGGAACCTATGATGGATGGTGGGAGAGGGGGAGAAAGGGAGGACCAGTCCCATTTCACAGATGAAGACACTGAGGCACAATTGAGTAGTTCAAGGTCATGCAGTGAGCAACGGCAGAGCTGAAATTAGAGCCCTGAATTAGTAACTCTTAGCTCTGGTTACCGTACCGTGTTTAGAATGATTATATTTTTTGGTTTTTTCTTGAGCTATTGATTTGTTCTCAAACCACACACTTATGGTTTTGGGACTACTATACACACACACTTCCCCCAAATTCTTATGGAAACATTTTCTGTTATTCTGGGGACAGGAAGGGAACAGAATTCATGAGCCACAGCTGTATTGGACCCAGTGCCCCAGTGTCCAGTTTAGTTTCACACGAGACCACAAGTGCTGTTTTCAGTGATCACTGTCCTGCCCCCACCCTCCCTGCTCCTCCTCCCCCACCTCTGCACAGTCTCCCTAAGGGCCTGCAAAAGCCACCTCACTCTCAGCTGGTCCCCAAATCACTCCCTCCGTCCCTTCTTCTTCCACCCCCTCGGCCCTGTGCTCCTGGTTCCCTACCCTTGGGACTGGGCATTGCTTATGTCAGATATGCTTCTCAATTTGGGGCGAAAATGTCCCCTGGGGGTCTATGGCAGTGTGTCAGGGGTACTTGATCACCCACGATAAACACGAGGCATCTTCCTAGAGTATCATGTTTATTGAACAATTTTGGTGAGCGGCGGTGGAGGTTAGGTAACTTAGCTGTTCTAAACGATTGTTTTCATGTTAGAGTATATATAGATGCCGTATAGAAGGAGACACAAACACCACCAAGTGGCAGCTTTGGTTCTATTCCCAGATGCCCCCTGAGCAGGGCTGGGCACTGGTGTGTGGGGAGGGTGGCAGTGGGAGCTGATCTAGGAGAGGAAGGGAAGGAACAGACCAGCATGGTGCAAGTCTGGGTGGGGACACAGGGTGAGGCTAGAGAGCCTGGTGGCTGAGGGCTGGGCTCTAGAGACCGCATCTGGGTCCAGCCTGGTCCACTACTGCATCCTTGGAGTACCAGGTAAGCTCTTGAGCCTCTGTGTCCCAGTCTCATCATCTCAAAATGGGGTAAGGTTGACCTTAAGGATTTTGCTTTCAGGATTAAATGGAATAACGCACTTACAGGGCTTATGACAGCACTTGGCAGGTGAGGCAAACTGAATTCACAGTATCCATTACCATTATCAGGGTCAGAGGGCTCCTCAGGGGAGCCGTGACAGCATCGGTTTTGCTTTTTTTATTTCTAGACATGAGCTGGGAGAAGGGGTGAGCATGAAATTACCAAGCCCTGAAGGGATGGTGAGGTGCAGCTAACAGATCTGCTGAAGGCTCAGCATCTGTGGCTCTCTGAGTGGGAGGGCAGAGGAGCCCCAGCATGGGCGCAAAGAAACCTGCAAAGTGCCATCAAGGGTGGCTGGCCTTCCTTGGGGCTTTTCCCTCGGCGTGTCAGTGCTTGCAAAACAGGAGATCTCATCTGCAGTTATGTCTACTTTTTGTTGATATTCAGTGGAAAAAAATGAATCATTTCAAACATTCCATCAGCAGACAAAATCTTTCAAACAATGGGGGAACTTAGTGTGAAATGATGGGGACCGAACACTTGATTAACCAGATGTGGCATTTCTGGTGTATTATGTGCTCACATTTCATAAATTTGCCTGTGCTGGGATTAAGAATAGAGGAAAAATAGACAAAAAATCCCCTTGGTCCTGAAAGAGTATAAATTGAAGAAAGAGGCCATTTCTGTGCAGAAGAGAGCATTCCTGGTGAGTGAATGAAATACGAGACCAGGCTGCACCAGGTAAGAAGGTAAGAGAAACAGGGAGGAGGAACTAGAATAGGCCCTATCTCTCCCCCTCCCCAGCTCTGAGAATAGCTTCCTTTGTTGAGAGAATACACCCGAGGTGAGCCTTCTTCACTCCTCCTCTCATTCGAATCCAATCTGCTGGTCAGGTAAGTCCCTCCAGGTGCCCCAGTGGGAATAAAGCATCTGACGTTAATTCACAGACGCCCACACGAAATTAAAGCTTTGCCCAGGTTCTTTCACTGAAAAGAAAGAAATGAAACGGACACTGCCCTCAGAGGTGCCAGACCAAACCCACCTGAAAATGTTTTGAAGCTTTAGACACAAAACCATTTATTTTTGGTTCATTTCAGTATTTATAGCAGTGCACATGTAACACATTTCAATCCACATGAATAGTTCCCAGTTGTTGGAGCAAATTAATCTTTTACAAGCTACTCAGCAGTGAGGTTAGAAGATAAACAGTCGTGAAATAGTACACGCTCCCCTGTACGTGAACCTTCTTATTACAATAAACTCCCACATCTGAGCTCACCGCATCCAATGACTGCCACTCTCCGTTCATGTGGCAGCCCCAGCTGCCCCCTGCCACCTCGGCCCTGCTGAGGTAGTTCTCGGATCAGCCACCTGGGTGGGACATGCTGCCATTTTCAGTTTGGAAGGAAAAACCTGTAAATCTGCTTCCTGGGAAGACAGGCATTGCTGAATTGTCATTTGCCTCTAGAATGCAGAAAACATCAATTTCATTGCAGCTCATCAGAGCTGGAAACACCTGCCACTTCCTTTCTCGGTTGCAATTAACATGATGCATCTCAGCATTGATTGAGTCCAAGCAGCCTGACGCTGCCAAAGTCAAGGTTTAAATGAAACAGTACAACCTCATATTATTTTTCACAGTTTTATAAACATGAACTTATTTATGTTTTATTGCCAAAGAAGCACTACAATAGTTGGGGAAGTAAGTCTTTATGCATGAAATAAACGTGGGTAGAATAGGGTGATGCTTATAATAAAAATAGTTCTTTGTATCTATTTGGGAGGGATGCTTGTTTATCTTTGTACTTATTTCGGGGTGGAGTGGAGGAATAATATTCTTTCTGTACCCCAGCACCTAGCACAGGGTTGCAGAACCCCATGGGTATTCTGAGACTGTTTATTAAACAAATAGATAAATGAATGGTTTGGGACAGCAAGCTTAAGAACTGTCCTCTTGTCCAACTTATGTAAAATTCTGAACTTATAACTATCACGAGCCCTTGGGTTTAACTTAGAAGTTGTGTGAAACTGACTATGAAACATGACCTGAGGCTGGGGCTTCATGTCTCCTTCAGGGTTCTAAATTGTTCTGCCTTGATCACAAGTGTTCTTTTATGGGACAGCGAAGGCTCTGTTTTCATCATCATCCTACTCATATTGCATACAAAGAAACTGTCTTTAAAATGTACAGTATTGTACATTTTGAGGGTCTTGGAACATTCTCTATTGTGAATAAGGAATGAAATCATTTAAAATAGTTCAACGGCCATAATATTTGTGTCCTTTTGGAAACGATCATTGAAACGATTTTTATGTACTAGTAAAACTGAAAGCTGGTGTAAGTAGAAGGCTGGTAAGTATGAGGTGTATGTTTTAACTTGGCCAGATAAGACTCAGCCTGGAACCAGAGAACGTAGTCTTTGGAAAAGACAGTGAGCAAGGTCTTCTCTCATCTATTAACAGACTACTAGGGCCTAGAACTACCTTCTTTCTTGGCCCTCTTGGGAGAATCTTTCTTTTAGATGGAAATGGAACAAATTAAAATAAGTGGCAATTAATTCTTTTGCATAATAGCAACCCAGACACTACACATTTGAGCATCATCTGTCAAATGTATGCAAGCCCCAAATAATGCACCTGTATATAACTGACCGAAAAGACTGGGCTTGAATATTTCTACATATTCTAGACTGAAAACTGAGGTTATATATCTCTTCCTTAAAATGAGTTAACATTCTTGAAATCTGTAGTCTTATCTCAAAATGCCTGACTGCTGAAAATATTATTTTGACAATCTCCATAAATCTTTAATACTATACAACTCACTGTCCCAAACATCTGGGTTATTTGTAGGATAAATAGCTTATATACCAATATCTTAGTGCTAATAGGTCTTCTCCAAATTATAACACAGGAAAACCAGAATTCTGAGGAAACCATATTAGCAATTTCTACCAAATATACAAATAAATAAAAATAGATAAATAGCCATATGTGGCACAGTTTTCATAGATAGAAAGATGCTTGTACATGTTTCCTAATAATAGAATTCAGGCACTACAACACCTGATTCTTAATAAAAAAAAAAAAAAAGAAAAGAAAAAAAGAAAGAAAAGAAAAAAGACCTCCAACCTTCAGAACTTGGTATCCCATGGAAAGGCTGCATTTTAATACCACCCAAAACGTTGGCTGACTCGGGAAATCCAGTCACACTTCTAACTTCTGGCTTGTCAGCTGGCCCGATTGGTGCCCACAGACAGCATCTCAGACAGAAGCGGTTCATGGGTCAACTTCTTCTGAGGAAAGTGAGGTCTCCCCCCAAAGCCAACTGTGGCAAAGCACCTTCTGTCCAACAACATATTTAATTAAACACTTGCAGAAACGAGAGAGGCCAAACACCCAACAAAGAGGTCTACAGTCTGCTCTCGTCAATGACAGACTGAATCTCCAAAGAATCCCACTGAGGGAAAACAGTCAAATACTTTACGACGACCGATCACCATTGAAAATCTTTTCCTTGGTTCCCATATGAACCATCGAAACATCCCAGGAATCCCATGTCAGTGCACCAACTCTGGCTCCCAGCTTTCCTTTCACACTGAAAATGTCATAAAAATTCCATGACCCAATTTGGGATTTGGTAAATGGGGTCACTGCACTCAGCACCGCTTTGGAGTCAGAAGTGGTTTGTCCTTGTCCCGTGGAGTCCCTGAGCAATGCCTGGAGAGAGTCTCAGAGACACGTCTTTGTCTGGACCTGAGGAGACCACCACGGAAGCATCCCTGGTCTTGGGTCACCAGTGTGTTCAATTTTAGCAACAGCACCAATCTCACCAATATTTTATCAACAAATGCAAGAGTTTCCCTTTTTGCCATTACCAACAGTTATAACAAAGCACTTCAAAATCATTCATTTTCTAAAAATGCTTTTCAGTATGTTCCAGGGGCCATAAGGATAGTGTTCTGAGAACAAAAAGCATTTCTAAGCCAACAGTATTTGGTGAAAATGAACAATCCTGCTGGTATGAAGTTCAAGTTTTATTTCCCTTTTTCTTTCTTCTTTTTTTAAGTAAAATTAAGGCTCAAATGTTCTATTCAACTCTCATTGCTTATGTATATTATATTAAGGCTTATAAATACACCTGGTAAATTAAATTCACCCTGGATTGAATTAACACCTGCTATATGAGTTATTTGTTTTATGTAATCAGTAATCTCAAGGTTTCTCCTCTTTCTCTGGAAACACAATTTAAATATTAACCTGATCTTTAAACTGCTGCTGCTGCTTCCTGACATTTGGACACCGATCATCCATGCAAAAAAGGCAAATAGGGATATAGTTAATGAAAAGGCAGCTTCTTAAAAATCTTAAGATGTGTAACTTAATGAATTGGGAGGATAAATGATAAAAGCAGCAGGAAAGTCTACCTCTGTGTCACTTTCTAGGGAAAACAATGCTGGTCGCCTGCCAAGGTCACCTCCAGGCAGAGAGACCTGCTGAAGTTGACTGCCAATTTCAAGAGTCTTTGTATTTTCTTCGTTATAATCTCTGGAAGGATCTTGGGCAGCTGTAGTACATGAGAGAATTGTAATTAAAAAAAATATTGCAGTATGATATAACTTAAGTTCCAGGTATGACAAATTCTGCAAAAGGAACTAGGCACGTGTGAGGTGTACTGGTCTGATTGGTCCTCGGCTTGCTTCCAGGGAGAGGCCCCCAGGCCTGCTCACGTCCTGCTCAGCTGACAGCCCTGGGAGAATATGAAGCTTTCAAAGTGCTGGTCTTCAGCCTTCTCTTTGATGCGTTGTTCCTCTAAGGAATCCACCAGTTTGTCCCTTTGCTCAATCACTTGCATCATCTCGGTGAATATTTTTTGCTCCTCATTAAGATCATTCTCGTTTTTCTGGCTCTCTAAAGAGAAAAAGAAAAACATTGTGCCTCAGGTAAGATTTGGCTCCAGGAGAGCTCTTGGCATGGGCATTCATGATTGTTCTGGACTTGTTCTGCCCTTTCGTTTCCATGGAGAAAACAAGGAAGTGAATTTAACACCAGGGAACCGCCCTCAGATTGGAAAGGTGGTGCTTTGTGCGGCAGTCAGCTCAGTTTCCATCTCGAGAGTATATACAAAGCAACAGGGAAAACCCCTTTGTGAGAAAAGAAGTGAATACTAGCCAAGCCCCACAAATGCCCCCAACTACCCCTCCCCCACAAAAAGAAACCAACAAAACAACAAAAACCCTGTTTTCCATAAACTTGTCTGAGCTACAGCAAGGAAACCTGTGCGAAAAGTTTCTAAGTAAACCATCTGCCTCAGTGGCTACTATTTCAATGAGGAGAATCCTTTTTTCATTTGCAGTTAATGACAAATTGCAGCCCTTTGGGTAGAGACCGGGCAGAAGCAAAGTGAGGCTATGGCTGGCCAGTGGGAGGATGTTTCCAGATGAGACTACACTTTTCCCTTTTGCCCTTCTGAGTATAGAAGCTTCTTCCTCATTGGCCTGAGGCATCAGATTGCCTGGAAGAAACAAGATTGTTATGAAGGAAAGGGAAAGAGTAAGAAACAGATAATAATGACTTTCTGACACTCAAAATAGGATTTTAAATCCAGAGTTAACTCTCGTCAACCAGATTATTGCCTTGGGAGGGTCTTCTCTAAATTCCTTTAGCCCCTTCCGTTTAACACACCAGGGACTAGGTGGTGAGCCCATCCCGGAGCAGAGACGGTGCCACTGTCTCTCACATCAGGCTTCGTTTTGAGGTCGGGTCAGGAAGAAGGTACATGTGACGAAAGATAAAGAAGCACCATTCCCTTTGCACCTCATGTTGTATGGGAGGGAGAAGAGAGAGGCAGGAGAAGCAGAAGGTGGAGCCCTGTGCTCCAGGCTCTCCATTCTGGGCCTTGGAAGCCCCCAAGGGGGAAGGAAGTGTCATATCATTTGACAGGAACAGTGGGAGCCCAAGGACTCCTGTCCTGCCCCTTGTTGGGAACTCTGGGAAGAAGCCAGCTGGAAGGGCGCCCTGTGTACAAACACGAGGCAGTACTTCGTGGTTGGGCAGAGAAGAAGGGTCTGAGTGTAGGTCCCCAGATCTCCATCTGCTTTGTGTGGCACACATATGTGGAGCCTAGAAGTACCCACTTGCCCCAGAGCTGCCAAAGGTAGCTGGCCAGTGGGCCTGCCTTAGGGATCCCCCATGATAAGGAGTGAAGTGGCCACACAGTGGAGACTGTCTGGTACACTGTATGGCCAAGCAAGTGGAGGACGTGTTGAGGAAAGGCTGAGTGAGCCAGGGAAGGCCACCAGGCTCGAAGCACGCCGAGAGAATGGCCAGGCTATGGATCACACCAGCCACACACCTTAGCTGCAAGTGCCAGCAGAGAGAGCAGCAGCCCAACAATGGGAGACAGCTATGTGGGGTCTCAACGAGTCAGAGCAACCCACACAGATTCCTAATGCTGCAAGGTCACACAGACCTGCCTTTCCCCGTTACCTGGCAGTCATCTTAGGGAGAAAAGCAGAAGGAAGGGGCGGCCATCTGTGAGACTGAATATTTTCATCCCAGAGAGACTGAGCATTTCCTACAGGGACTGTTTAAATGATTGCATCAGACTAAGTTTACCAGAGAGGGATAAATAAAGTTCCTTTTCTTTTTTTTTTTTTTTCCTTGCTAAGTAATAGGATGAAGCTTTTGTGGAAGATGAGCTCAGATACAGACAAAATAAAGAAGCTATGTTTGTTTTTGTTTTGTTTTGTTTTGTTTTTGGTACACATAAGAGAAGTGAGAAAATGTATGACCATCACTTCTTAGTAAGAATTTTTTTAAAAAGAATCAAAGGTGGCTAGTGGAGTCTTTGGTGGTATTTGTTTTACCATTCTGAAACAGTGCAAATTAAAATTTTTATCAGATGTGTAAATCAGATATTAATTATACACTATGGTTTGTTAATTTAGGCATACTCCAGTATTGGTGCCCCTTATTTGATAATCAACACAGAAAAATAAAAAATTCCTTTTTCAATTTCAGCTTGTCGTAAATGGACCCATCTCAGCCCCTTCCCACAACAAAAAAGACTTTTATCTGTCCTATATAGTGCAAAATCCTATAAGGATTTTGTTAGAAATAGAATTCTGTTGCTATAAAGAAAGAATCTGCGAACCAATACTATATGGGAAAGAACAGGATCGCCTGAGTCTGTTGTAATCTGTTCCCAAATTTTGCCCCTATCATTTACCTTGAGCATGCTTTTTAAGTTCTCAGAGACTCAGTTTTCTAATCTGTAAAATGGGGATAAAATACCTAAATAAAAACAATCATCATGATGGTGTCTAATATTTACTAAGTGCTTGCCCTTGTACCAGACAACCCATAGGTGGGTGCAATGTTTGGTCCATGAAGTATAAAGAAATTATTTACCTTGTTCTTTTAGACCTAGGTCTAAATGTGGGAAAGCCATGCATGGATCTGACCCCACAAACACACGGGCACAAAATAGAATGAATATGCCTGGCTGGCTGGAGCCAATGAATGCATAAATCAGTATATCATGTCGATTGAGTTCATTTCAACTCCCGCCTTCATGGTGGAAATAATTGTCTCACGTGTGATGCCCTAGCCAGGCCCAGGCTGGGAGGGATGTTTCCTTCACCATATAGTGCCTGGCAGAGCTAGGCCTGCCTTCCTCTGTGCTCCAAAGCACCTGTGTCATGGCCCTCATCTCGCTGTGCTATGAGGACTGGGCTGGGTGTTGGTCTCCGCAGTGAGACCAAGGGCAGGGCTGCTCTTCTTCATATGCCAGGCCCACACTAGAGTCTCAATGAGTATTTGTTAAATGAATGGATGGATAAGTGAATGAATGCATGAATAAATGACTTTGTTCCTTTTCGCACATGGGATGGAGCAAAATGCTGCTCCCACAGCCCGAGTGAACGAAGCTAAGTGGGGACTGGCTGTGCTGGTGGTGGCGGCAGAAGGAAGGCTGGCGTGGTGCTCTCCTCTGACTCCCAGGCTGGTCGTGCGAGGCAAGGACAATGCTCCACTCTGCGATTTGCAGCATGCTCTGCTCAAGTGTCTTTCTGGGGAAAAACGTCTTCACCAAGAGCCCCAAACATGTTACCACACTCACCCTCCTTGAGCATTTTCTCTCTTAATTTCTGCTCCAGTCTGCTTTGATGATCTTCTAATTCCAGTTCTTGGGCCCTGGGGACGAGAAAGTGTGCAAACTTTGTAAATACTAGGGGGTTGAGTAGACACGTTGACTAATAAGCCCGTGGACAGTAGCTATGGCATTCGTCTTTCCTTATGAAAACCGGCGTCTTAGAACATCTCTAAACTGAAGGTTTTGCTGCTGCTGGGTCCCTGAGGTGCTGAGAAGGATTGCTGAGATACGCTGGACTCAGGAGACGATGGGGAGCAACTGAAGGCTGTGATGGGATCTCAGTAGGCTTTGGGAAGGCCACTCAGGCCACCCATCAGGGATGGAGAGTGAGGAGAGGACTAGAATAGTCCAGGGAGAAACAATGACAATCTGAAACTCTTCTCTTCTAGGGGCAACATGACTTCACCTATCACCTCTAACGACTCCAAATCTCTGATTGTGGAAAACAAGAAAATAAGGAGGAGGAAACAGAAGTGAGACACTTTGTCCAGGTGGAGGCAATGAAACTCAGGCAGCTACAGTATCTGGTTCTAGGAGTGTGGAAAGAAGAGTTGGTGATGTTTTGGAGTAGTCAAGCTGGGGTGCTGGGGACTCAGTGTTTCCACAATAGGAACAGCAAAGTCAAGAAGCGAAGTTGGTCCTTAGTGAAGGTCAGATTGGAACTTCTCGACCTTTCAATGTTCGGGGATATCCCATGGATGTCACAGAGTGAGTGTGTGTAAGCTCCCCATACGCTATGCCATGTGGTGATGTGGAGGTCCCCCAAACCTTTGTGAATGCAGCCCTGGAGTTCTCAGGAGACAGGAGGACCACACACAGATGCGGCAGGGGTCAGAGGCGATAGTCGAAGTCGTGTGATCCCTAAAAGGGAGACTCTAGAGAAAGCAAGGTTTGAAGACAGAAGCTTGGGAATGCATACATCTAGAAGCCAAACAAAAGAAGCGGAGCCAGGGAAGAGGCAAGCAAAGTGTTGGAAGGATAAAACAAGAAATGCAGCATCACAGAAATGAAGAGAGGGAAGCTTTGAGAGAAGAGAGAGGTCAAGGGCGTTCGCTGCTGCAGAATCACTGAAGAGGGCGAGGGCTGAGAAGAGGTCCCTGGATTTCACACAATGGGGCCTTCCTTCCAGCCCCACCTGCGGTCTGCATGTGCATCTGCTACAGTGTTGGGGTCACTTTGCTTTACCCTGCTGTTGCTGTCATCATTTTTACTACTGCTGCTACTACTTGGGCCAAGGTCCCTGCCTTGTTCGATAGTCTGCCTTTTGCTATTGACACTGAACTTCTCTTGGCCCACTGTGGTAGCCAGTGGAGGTGCACCACTCAGACTTCCTTCAAGAGAGAACTTTCCAGGAGGAGTGTAGTGAGCTGGTGCTCCTGCAGAATCCATTCACTGTCATGCTGAGGCCACAATGTCCCTGGGCAGGTCCAAGCCAGTGACCAAGCACAGCAGCGGGGCTAGAGTTGGGCCATTGCTGCCCCACTCTGGACTCCTCTGATGGGCAGTCTTGGCTCTGGCACTCCCATTGGCCTGGCTGAGACTTCCTTGGGGCTGCACTGCAGTCTGAGGCTCTTCCTGCCCAATTCTCCTCCCTTCCCCTCTCCTTTCCCAGGAATCAGGACGGCAGTGGGGTCTGAAGATTTCCCTCTTCCTCCTGCTCCCTTTCCCCTTTATCCTTCACAGGCATTTTCCCCAATAAATCTCTTGTACTTCTAATTCCGTCTTGGCATCCACTTCCCAAGGGACCTGGATGGACACACCAATCTAAGACATTTCTCCTTGTTCATACAGGCGTTTCTCCAAACTAAAACCTGTCCTTTAACAGAGCTCCCATCTGCCTTTGTCTAGCTCACATGCCCGAGTTCTCCTCTTTGGAGGAGAAAGGTCCCTCTGCAGTGGATAAACTGGGGAAGCCACAGTCACTGAGAAGCAGCGGCAGCAGCCAGCCTCCCTGACTCTCACAGGCAGACCCTGTGCACTGACTGCTCCTTCTACAAACCTCCATGAGCTCTTGCCTTGTTTTCTTATTATTATCATGCTCTGTGTTTGCATGTCTGTCTCCCCTGAAACCATGATATCCTAGAAGATGGGGACGGTGGCCTTATTCATCTTTCTTTCCACAGCGCCCAGCACAGTTCCTGGCACATAGAATGTGCTTGATACATTTTTGTTGAATGAATTTTATAATTCAGACCTGGCCCAAAGGCAGATGGGATGATTGTGTAAAAAGGGTTTTATAGGTGGACATGGACAGATTACTTAGTTGCTCTTAGTCTCAGTACGTGCAATAATGTGAAAAATAGTGATAAAAAAATAATGACTACAGATGACCCCTTCTTCCCCATTCATGGCATTTCCTTCCATGTCAATGGAGTTCAATGAGTATAGCTGCTGGCCTCCTCCCCCATGCCCGCTCTTACTCACTCTCACCCCAGGGGAGACTAGACTGGGTGAACTTAGCTCACACCCTTTCTCTCCTGGGATCAGCCTGCCTGTAGCAGACGTGTGTTCTCGATTACTCCGAGCCTTGCTGTAGGTCTAGGGCAAGATTTCTCAATCTTGACACTATTGACATTTTAGGCTGGATAATTCTTTGTTGCCAGGGGGAGAGGGGGTGTCCTTTGCATTATAGAATATTTAGTAGCATCCTTGGCCTCTACTCACTAGATACCAGCAGCACCTCCTAGTTGTGACAACCAAAAAGGTCTCCAGATGTTGCTGAATATCCCCTGGGGGGCAACGTCTCCTGTAATTGAGACCCACTGGTCTAGGGTAAAAGCCTTGCCCCTAAGAAGCAAGCAGATGGAGGACCCTTTGTGATTACATAGGTAAGTATGTCTAATTCTGGGGTTTGGTTAGTGTAGTGGGTTGAATAGTGACCCCCAAAAGATAGGTCCACATCCTAACCCCTGGAACCTGTGAATGTGAACTTATTTGACAAAAGGTCTTTGCAGATGCAATTAAGTTAAGGACCTTGAGATGAGAACATTCTGGGTTATCCCAGTGGGCCCTAAACCCGTTGACAAGTGTCCTTATGTGAGTCAGAAGAGAAGACACAGACACATAGAGAAGACAGAGGCAGAGACTGAAGTGATGCCGCCACAACCCAAGGGAGGCCTGGAGCCACCAGAAGCTGGAAGAGGGGAGGAAGGATCCTCCCCCAGAGCCTCCAGAGGGAGCAAGGCCCTCCTAACACCTTGATTTCACACTTCTGTCTTCCAGAAATGTGTGAGGATGAGTTTCTGCTGTTATGAGCCACCCAGTTTGTGGAAATGTGTTACTCCAGCCTTAGGAAACTAACACAGGTAGCAAGCCCCCCTTGGCTCTCATAGTTAGCCCAGCTAGCCCTTACTGGTAATAAGGGCAGTATTTTGATGTTCCATCTATTAACTCGGTTGTCTTATTTCTCATCTAATTCAGAACCCAGGCAGAGAAGAGGAACAGAATTTGTTAGACCCCTTCAAAGTCCCCCAAAATTACCTCGCAGGTTTGGGGTGAAAATGAAGTGAGCCAGTATGAGTGAAAGGACCCAGTACAACTTGTGGTGTTTAGTTGGTTTATATTAATTGTTACTTTCTTTCCCTCCAGAATGGTGACAGGTTAGTGACCTTCAACTTTTTCAGAGTGTGATGAGATCCACCTCTACTTTCTGATATCCCAGCCAGGTTGTCACCCATCATTCAGAGAGGACGGCCAGACAGATCTCGGTTCTTCAATCCCTTAAAGCCACAAAGAGGTGGCCAGGCAGGTCTCACCAGGCCCTTCCCGCGATCCGTACTCAGAAGCCACACGTGCTCCTGTTGCAGGTGTGTGATGGCAGGTGGGTCCCCCCTGGTCTGGGGGACAGGGATGGATTGAAAATATCTTATCCAAATGCCCTCCAGCTCCAGACCTACTACCTGAAATCTATTTTAGCCATAGGACTCCACAGAGAGAACAGACCACTGAAGATTCCCCGCACTAATGCCGGCATGATATGCAAGACATCAAATACCAATTTGCCTCAATCACAATTCTGTATGCACAAGGAGAGAAAATCCTGGGGCTTCAACCGAGGAGGGGGAGCCACCCCCCTCCCGCCCCTGTACTTTTAGGACTCACAGTCATCTGTGTTGCCTTACTTACATGATCAGTAGCTCCGACTCGTATCGCATTAATTTATTCTTCTCCAGAACCAGCTTAAACCATTCCTGCAAAAGCTGTGCTTCATCCTGTGTGTCTGAATCTGTTTAAGAAATCAACACAAATGGCTGAGATTGGTATTTCTCTCTCTATGATCAAACTGCTTTGGAACTACTTTCGCGGGCCATATTTGTAGCGAAAAGGGCTCGGCAGGCGGCAGCCCCCTGACAGCCTGTTGATGCCTCAAGGTCACGAGCATGACAAATAAAACCCACCTGTGCATGCTCTGGGGGCGGTCCTCCTGGACATTGGGGGCATGAATCGTCATGTCCAAGGGTCGTACACTCTTGATCCTGTCCTGCCTTAAATGAAACCTTTCCTGCCTATTTGCATGTCCTCCATAAAGCTTCTGTATGTTTGTGCCTCACATCCTCCACCAAAGAAAACCCTAGTAAGTCTGCTGGTTACTATCTCCCCTCCTTCTTTCCCTCCCCCAAATCAAATGCCTACTGAGTGCCCAGGTGGAGTGCGGTTCCCTTCATGGGGCAGGGAAGCTCACACCACATTTGGTCATAGAGGAGTGGGGATTGGCATTTTTATTTTTTCCACAAAGAAAAGCCAAATGATGAAAACAAATGTTATTAGCTTTGAATCTCATAGGGAGAAAGTTATATCCAAATATTCTTATAATTTAGATGACGACCTTTATGAAACAGAAGAACAACCATGAGAAAATTGACACTGCTTTTAGATACTCAACGTCAGATGCTAAATGTTTAGATACTAAAATGTTAAAATCTGGGCGTCTTTGAGAAACAGCAACGCGGAGGTAGCTTTCTAGTATTTCACCCTGAAGTGAGAACACAGGCTGTATTGCAAAGCTCATGGCCATTCTAGAAGGATTTATACTGGAGGGTCCCCTAGGCAGAGGGGAAAACAGTGCAGACAGAAGACATGTGTGACCTTGGGCAAGTTGCTTAACCTCTTGGAGCCTCTGCTTCTTCATTGGTTAAACTGAACAGTAAGGCACACAGGCAATGTAATAATAATAATGAGCTACTGTTTATTATGCAGCATCTCATTCATCCTCACAACAAACTCACCAGCAGGTTCCCTCACTATCACCACCTGACAGCTGAAGAAACAGAGGTTAAAAGATGAAAGTAACTGCCCAAGCTCACAGTCAGCAGGCAGCAGAGCCAGGGCTTGAAGTCAAGGGAGCCTTATCCGAAGCCCCTGTCTTCACTGATGTGTGCTACTCCCCCCTCCTCCTCTCCCCTCCCTCCCTCCCGTGGGCATGTCAGGTAAATAATGCCCCTAGCACATCATCTTGCACAGAGCAAGCCATCCATAAAAACAGTTCCCTTTTCTCCCTGTCTCTTTGGCCATCTTTTTATTGATAAGGAAACAAGGGCCCAGAGAGATTTATACGCAACACTCCAAATTACAGTTAGTTAATGGGCAGAAGAGTGCCACAATGTAGATCTTGACTTCTGGTGAATTCACTCATTCATGCATCCATTCACACCTCTTTATCCAATAGGTGTCGGGTACTGCCTTAGGTTCTGGGGATACAGTGATAGATAATGCTACATATCACGAGAAATTTGGAGATAGTAAGGCACCGTGCCTGTGGAAAAGGGTATTGCTAGATAATCTTTTGGATCAGATGGACCCAGAAAGCTAGAATAAAATAGAACATTAGAAAACTGTTACCACAACAAAGCAGTAAAAAAGGGCTCTGGGAATACAGAGAAGGGAGGGTTCTTCTGGTCAGGGTGTGAGGTTGGAGAGAGGGTTCTCTCCGTCAGGATGTAAGGTTGGAGGGAGGGTTTCCTGGGCAGGGTGTGAGGTTGGAGGGGGTTCTCCTGGTCAGGGTGTGAGGTTGGAGGGGGTTCTCCTGGGCAGGGTGTGAGGCTGGAGGGAGGGTTTCCTGGTCAG